AAATTTTCGGTATAACTTTTCTGTTTCTAAGCATTTTTATTGACAAATCACAGGGCAGCGTTGACAATATTTTTTGTTTCTGTGTGTGAGTGATCCGTTATGTGTCTGTACATGTGTGCGTGCAGTACAATCCTTGTAGGCAGAACTAGTTTAGAACGGCTATAGTTATGGCATTAATTGTGCTAGTGATTGAGCGGTAGTGGAGCACTCTGAGAGCGAGCGAAAACCAGAGTTCTCCGACTTTCAAAAGATCCCCGCTTCAGTTAAAATCACGCTGCTCCGCTCTCAATGCACTTCGATCCCATACGCTGCTTTGGGGTGGCAACTGGGGTGGCAAAGCTCATTTTAAGGGTGCAGTTGCCACCCCGTGCCACCCTTGTGGACACGCCACTGCCTAAATCATATATTATAAATGTCTTTTCTTTTTTTTTTTTACTACTCTTTACTCACTCAGGCTGCGCGAGCCTCATCTGGCATGACATAAATACATGATCAGTCGCCGTAAGACATCAAAACAGACCGGCTCGGAATCGGCAGACTGGTCTGAGCCGATCATGTGGAAAATCGGCTGATTCCGGTCCCTGGCCATTTGATCGGTGCATCTCTAATGGCAATGAGCAATCAGGAGCCAACTAATGGAGAAGGATAAATGGCAACAGAAATGATAGCTGAGAGCGAGTAAAACATAATTCCACAAAAGAGATAGATAAGTCAAAAACATGTGACTTAAATTGGCTGGTTCTACATGTCATTTGTCACAGCTTGGGTTTTGTCAAACCTTTGAAAGTATGAACACACCGGAACATTACAATTCATGTTAGCGTTCCCGCTAACCCATAAAAAAAGCAGTTGTCATATATGAAAACAGCTTTACAAGCAGTCTTGTCAACCATGTGGTTATTTCTGTTATAAAAATTCAACTAATCACAATAATTACCAATGTCGGTAGAGATCAAAATAGAGTATAACACTTTTTGAAATTAATCGACAAACGAAGATGATATTGATTACATCTTTACGCCAGTAAGTGGCAACAAGTGACCGTTAAAATGTATTTGTCATTGAATTATTATTTCCATAGATTTGTGGCGGATGGTGCCAGTGCGGTTGAGAACAACTGCTCTAGTAAATTACATTTTATGTTGTTTAGTTGTCTATTCAAAATCTTGGGAGGATTGTGATCTGTATTTTAAACATCTAATTGTCTTTGACTCCAGATTGAAGTGGTCCACTGATAAATGACTGAGCTTTCAGTCTTGCAAGTGTTTTAAAGACTTAAAAGAGTTCTGACTGCTCCTCATTCTTATATCATTCATACATCAATCATTCTTCCCCAAATGAATATTAATTTGATTTGCAATGTTCTTATGCTTCATTGGAATGTTCTGAAGTTCCCTGTTTACATCAGAAACTGTTGCTTGAGGCAAGCAGCATGCAGTTGTTGTCGTGCTGCTAATGTTTCTGATTGTGGAGTCACCCACTGTCAGAGTGCTGGGCTCAGCTGCGCTCGGAGCAGAATGCCGCTGTCTGCTTGACCTTGAGTGCCTGCTAGCTACAATGTTTGCAGTTGGCTGATGCAGTCTATGCCTGATCGTGTTTGGGGATTCTTCACCCACATTCATTAATGCTTCAGATATGACTGGTGTTTGCAAGTCTGGTCAAAAGCTGTATCTGGGGTAGAGGATGCTCAATATGTGAAAAGCAACGTGAAAGGATAATGATTAGATTATAAGGATAATTACTACTTTTTCCATCCTTGATTGACTAGAGTAGGAGTTTTCGAACTGTTCCTGGACTAGATATTTACCTTATTGGACACATGCAGCTCAAATCATCGGGTAAACTACGAATCAGCTGATGGGTTAGTTCAGCTGGGTTAAGTAAGAGGGACATCCAAAACAAGTCACTGTAAAAGAGAGTTTGCAAAGAAACTTTTAAATGAAAGATGGAGCAGCCAACTATATTGGATATGACCGCAGCAGACTGCAGCAATATAATTGCACACAGAGCCAATGAAGGTTAAAAATAATACATTTTTGCAAATATGTAACTGTTTTGTGTGTGTGTGTGTGTGTGTGTGCAAGAAACCGTATTAACATTATAAGTGAAACTAAAGGACCATATTACAATGATAATAAAAAAAACATGCAAACATGTACCACTCATTTAGTAGTTTACAGTAGGCCATTGGTGATGACATCTGCTGTTAACAAGCAGATTCACTGGAGAGAACAGATTTAACATTGCTGATTTTGCTGTGCAGTTCAAATCCAGAGAACTGTTTTTGATTCTGGCAGACCTGACTAATGCAACATAACTTTGAGACATAAGTTAGGTGTGTGCTTGGCTGAAGAAATGAGTGTTTATTCTGGACTGATGCCGAGACCATGTGTCTGACTCCTAAATTATGCCAGAAATGCTGTTCTAATGTTTAGGAGATAAATGTGAAAAGACTCTACCTCTTCTTGTGGATTTTAATATTGATATTGTAGTGTTGTTTTTTAATTGTTTGAGGAACAGAACAGACAGTCTCTGTCTGATGAAATCTATGTGACAGTCTCTGTGTGAGGTGATTTATATGAAATCTGTGATGCCTCAAGGCAGCTAGCAGGCAGTCGGTTAAGCCAGTCTGTGTTTCCTGGCCGGGGCACTAGTGAGAAATACACTAAGATTTATTACACAGATTCCAAGAAAGGACAGCCGCACCTTTTCATGAAGGATGGAAGCTGTCTTTTTTTTAACAGGCCTGGTCTATCCCAAAAAGTAGCCCAATTCTCTGTGTAAAGGTTCTCACATGTGGCACCAAAATATGTTTTGGGTTTTGGTCACTTCAAGTGTGTGGGAGAGTGTCAGATGACTCCTTCCACAACTAAATGAATAACATGAATGATAAACGAATGAAGTGCATAAGATGCATAAAATGCAAGAGATTAAGTTGGGTGTTGCTATGGCAGAGTTACATTATCATCTGGAAAGGGAAACTGTTGTTTCTCTGAAACTAAAAAGGTGAAGAATTTAATTATGCCTCAGGCAAATAAATGAAAGATTACTTGTTATTAACAGCCATCAACTATATAACATCTATTTTTAAAATTATATTATGATAATTATACAACAATGCAAAGTAGGGATGCACATTATTGAATTTTAGAATTTCTGATATGCCAATATTTTTCATATTATAACGATATACATACCTTTTTATCTTTTGTTTGCTGACAACACAGATGCATAAAATGCAAGAGATTAAGTTGGGTGTTGCTATGGCAGAGTTACATTATCATCTGGAAAGGGAAACTGTTGTTTCTCTGAAACTAAAAAGGTGAAGAATTTAATTATGCCTCAGGCAAATAAATGAAAGATTACTTGTTATTAACAGCCATCAACTATATAACATCTAATGTAAATTAGAAAATTATATAATGATAATTATACAACAATGCAAAGTAGGAATGCACATTATTGAATTTTAGAATTTCTGATATGCCAATATTTTTCATATTATAACGATATACATACCTTTTTATCTTTTGTTTGCTGACAACACAAAGTCTCCCCTGTGCAGGGATTAACAAAATGTTTTCATTTTGGACCTTTTTTTTTTTTTTTTTTACAAAAACAGCATATCCAGTATTCCAAGTCTGTTTATTTTATTATAAATGGAATAATTAATTTGTGTTGTGTTTTGGAGGGTTCACAACCTGGGTCAGTTTCATCACTGTATAATGTGGAGAGAGACAGATCAGTCTGACATGGTCTCCTTCTGCTGTTAGTTCTCAGTCCATGACGTGCTGTCAGAGTGTCTGCTGGCTCTGGGAGGAAGTCCTGTTGTGAGAACTGCACTTGTTCAACTCCTGATGTCTCAGATCATTCAGCTGGCACAGCAGCTATGGGACACCTGTGAGGTAGGTTACACCACTACACCTAGAGATCACTGTAAAATTTTTACCAAACAAACCATTCACCCTATTGAGGGACTTCCTTATTAGTGGAAAAGTTTAATCTTGTTCAATCTTGAAAATAAATATTTTCATTCAATAATGATTAGTGATAGGCACTAGGGCTGTCAAAAAAAAAAATTTGAATTTCCAATATTTGTCGAATTTAAAATAAAAATCCACGTTCGAATGCAAAAACATTGCATTCGAATTTTAGGTGTGCGTTAAGGAGGCAGCCTTATCAGTGGCACACAAGATGCGATGACGACGTAGGTGTCATTGCATTTGAATGCTTTTTTGGCCTATCCTATCCTATATAACCGACTAGATGCGGCGCTGCTACGTTATAATTATATAGTCTATGGTTTATAAACATTATTTTAAACATTATGCACTTTTTTCAAAGATAGTAGTGTTATTTTATTGCTTTGAAGATACGTTCATTAGTAATATTTTGCTCGATGCACCCTCTTGTGGCCTCAGGAGAGAAGCCAAGACCCCCCCCCCCCAACTGAAATTATATGCCTTTTAAATTAGAATATAATTCGAATATGGATAATATTTAAGTTAAAAATTCGAATTTAGTTTTTCAGCCATTTTGACAGCCCTTAGGCACTCAGAAAATGGCTTCGCAACAAACATAACCTGTCGGAGTTGAATGGTCTGTTGGCCAAATTAAATAGGTCCAGTGACACCGTACAGTACAACTGCTGCTGCACAAAGGTGTGTTGTTGGTGTCATGAGCAGTAGCCTAGACTGTTAGACTTTTTGTTGTATTTTTGTCGCTACTCATTGGCAGAGATATTTCCAGTCACTGTAATTGCCCCTTCACAGCAGCTGTACACTGCACTGGTGGTCTAAAATCTTTAGCCTACTTTAAATATATCATATGAATGCTATTGCATTTGAAATTCATTTCCAAATAAGTTACATTAATCTATGTAATATTTTAATAATTCTTCTCATTCATTTTAAACAGTGTGATGTAGCAGTGCACAAAAATACTTATGACAAGTGAAGAATTCATAACTATATAACAGTATATTTACAAATAATTTGACAGTAAGCCAAACACTGTCATCCTGAAACCTGTTTTATCAGGATTGGAATTGGACAAATGTTAAAATGATATAACTTCTATGTCCACCCTTAGAATAAATACATTTCTCTAGAAAAGAAAGCGAACAAGATATGGAATATAACAAAACACACTATAGTTGATTTACTTTTGTATTATCCTACAGGCACAGAGCTTACAAAGTTCATCCTAAACTTGTCTCTGTATTGGCTTATTGAAACTATTTTTGTTGGTTAAATAGAGCAAAAACAGACAATACTAGGGCTGTGTATCACCAGCAAAGTCACGATACTAATACGTATCTCGATACAGGACTGCACTGAATTTCACCTCAGCAGAATTTAGTTAAACAGCTGTTTATTAAACACTCATTGTTTTTCATTTCCTCAATTGTATGTGTGTAGAGTAAACATTTGAATTTGGGTATGTCAAATTTAGGCGAAAATACACAAAAACGCCCCTGAGCTTAAGTGGTAAAATAGAAAACTTTTATTTTAAATTGCAATAATATTTCACAATATTATTTTGTGAAATAATATTCAGTATTGTTTATCAAATAGATACAGCCTTGATGAGCCTAAGAAACTTCTTTAAAAAATGTACTGATCCCAAACTTTTGAATGGTAGTGTATTATACTGTAAAAATATTTTTCTCAGGGAGCCTAAAATGTACATTATTTAGTAACCAAGTTCGGTACCAATACCAGTGAAGATCCACGGTTCTCGGTACCAATTTTGGTACCAAAGCAAAACATGCTAATTAAAAAATGTGACTATACTTTCATTTAATCCAAACTGTGTACATATTTAATTTTAAAGGGCTTTTGAAAACCTTCTAGAGTTATTCAGCCAAAAATAACAACTAACTAAGTTAGCTAAAAAAAATATTTAAAATAAAGCCCAGAACTGCTTTTCTGACCGATATGACATAAACAATGTTAAAGGGGTCATATGATGCGATTTCAATTTTTCCTTTCTCTTTGGAGGGTTACAAGCTCTTGGTGCATAAAGAAGATCTGTAAAGTTGCAAAGACTAAAGCCTCAAATCCAAAGAGATATTCTTTATAAAAGTTTAG